CAGGGGGGCGCGCGGGGCTGGACCCGGCGACGCCTGGCTGGCAGATGCCGGGGCTGCGGCATTTCGGCGGCCGGCGGCGACGCCAGCGGCTCTCGGGCGCGGCGGGCCCCGCCGTGGGCGCGCGCGCGCGCGCGACCACGAGCGCACATACACCGCCCCGCCGGAAGCCCAGGTTAAGCCCCCTGCGCCCTGGGGGAGCGTTTCCGAGGGCCGGCGCGAGTCCCTGGCCGGGGGGAGGGGGGGGGGCGTTGCCCTTGTACCGGGGGGGGGGGCTGTTGTTTTCGCACGAGGCCGCGGTCCCCTTACAGGGCTGTGTGTATGTGCGCGCGCGTGGGTGTATTTTGTGCACTCTGTTTATTGTGCTTATTGTGTATATGCTGTGTGTTGTGTATGTACACACACACACCCCGTACGAGAGGAGGAAAACACCGGCCCGGAGCCCAGCCCGCATCCTCGGCACATAGATACCGGGCGACACCCCTTTCACTTTCACTCTCACATACACACACACACAGACATATCCATTCAAGCACGCAATACCAAGGGAGACCGCCCTTTCTCCCCCGCCTCCGCCCCCGGGGATGTATATATTTTTATTTGTTCACAAACCACCCCCCAGCAATTGGCCCTTCCCCGGGCTCGGAGGAGATCGCCCTCGGTCGCGGCGACACCCGGCCGCCGCGCCCCTGGCCCCCCCCCCCCCCGGGGAGAGAAAACACCGGCAACACCCACTTCCGGGCACCGGCGCCCGAGGCCCCGTCCTCCTGTGGGGGCGCCCTGCTCTCAGGGGAGCATGCCCGCCGGCCCGTGGCTCCCCCACCGATCCCGCTGCCCCCCCCCTCCCGGGACGCGCCCCGCAGACTCGGGGCCGACGGAAAGGCCAGGGGGCGGGGGGGGGCGCCCCCGGGCAGATCTCGCTTCGCTTCCCGAAAGCCCCTCGGCCCGGCCATGCCAGCCGCCCCGCGGCAGCCCATTGTTTGTGCGCGGGGCGCAATCGCGCGTATCGGCACTTCGGCCGGGCGTGCCTCGCGCCGGGCCGCCCGCCGGCAGAACTGGCCAGGCGCGCCGCCGGCGCCAGGCCCCGCTCGCGCGCATCGTGCCAGCGCGCACCACGGCCAACGAGGCTCCCGCGTCAGCATTTGCCATCTAGAGACACACACACACACATGTGTGCCTTGCACAGGTAGAAGCACGGACACGGGCGCGGGCACAAACACAGACACACACGCACACACGCACAGGTCCCGGGACTCTGGCGCGGAGAATCGCGCCGCACGCGCATCGAGCAAACGCCGAGCCCGCGCAGGCCCCCCCCCCCCCCCGCGCGCAAGAAGCCAACGAACCGGGCCGCGGTTCGGGGCATACCCGGGCTCAATGCATCGCGCGCGCCCTTCCCGGGGTCGTAGGGACCGTTTCGGCTGCGCCCCGGCCCCTCCCCCGGGCCCCGGCGCCCCCAGCGCCCCCGGTTCTCGCGAGGGACGCCGGCCAGGGCGCGGGGCTTCTTAATCGCGCCCCGCCGGTAGACCATTGGCAGATGCCGGGACGGCGGCGGCGGCGGCGGCGGCGGCGGCGGCGGTGGGGGAGGGGGGCGCGTCCGCGCGCACGCGCGGACGCGGCGTTCCCCGCTCCACAGAGACGCACTCCAGCGTCTGGTCCCTGGCGGCCTGTCGCGGGTGCGGCTCCGCGGCAACGGGCCCCTTTTTTTCTCTCTCTCTCTCTCGCGCGCGCGCCGGAGCGGGAGCATCCTGCCGGCGCGCGTGCATGCAGGCGCGTCAGAGGCCCCCGCGCCCACACAGAAGGCAGGGGCGCCCGGGCGTCCGGCCGCCCAAGGGGCCTTTGTTTGCCGGCGATCGCGGCCGCGCCGGCCCGGGGACGCCCCGTACGAGCACATGCCACCGGCGCGGCCAGCCGTCAAAAGCCTCGCCCGCGCACGGGCGCGCCCACACTCCCGCGCACGCCGGGACAAGCCACCACGCATAGATGGATGTTTGTTATGAGGCCGGCGGCTTGGCCGCGTTGCCGTCGTCGGCGTACACTCATTTGGGCCATATCCCGGCTTGGTCCCTTCTCGGCGGCGCGGTGTTTGCCGATCGGTCACGCTCGCCGCCCTTTGCCGGGCCCTTCTTGCCGTGCCTCCCCGGGGTGGCCTGGGCGCGTGCCGGTTCGCGCGCAGGCGCCCAGGCTCCCCGGTCAAGGGGCCGGCGACAGGCATCCCGCCTCCCCTTGCCGGCCTCGATGCCCCCCAACGGGGAGGCCGGGTAGCCCGGGCTCTCTGGACACACGCGCGCACGCCACACACAGACACACCCACACGCACACTCACTTGCATCCATGGCCAGGCCGACAATCTCCCGAGGGCGCACCAGGGGCGCGCGCTATATGGCCGTTGCGAATGCCTGGCAGGCCGGATTCGGGGCGACGGGCGGACGCTAATACACACACACACACATACATCCCCTCACACAGAGGCTCTTCCCTCGGGGGCCTGGCCACCGCGCCCTTGGCAAACATTGCCGGCCCCATGCCGACCACTCGTGCCGCCCCGACGATCGCCCAGGCGAGGGAGGGGCGCGGGGCGCCCAGCGCAAACGAGGGTACCCCCACGATACGCATGTCCTCCCCGTGCCTGCGCCGCGTATCGCCCCTCCACGCACCCTCCCGAGGCGCATCATGCCCGGTGGGCCAACCATTCAATGTCCACTCCCTGCTCCCCCCCCCCTCTCTCTCTCTCTCTCCCTCCTTCACACAAACACCACAGCCTGGCAGCCCGGCGGCCGGCACGGTGGACACACAGGCCGCCCGCGCCCGACGCCCCCGTGTCGGGGTCCCACCCCACGTCCTAGCCCGACGCGATGACGCCGCCGCGTCCCTGCCGCCCGTTTCCATGCCGGTCTCGTCCCCTGCGGGGGGCGCCGGCCGATCTCGGTCTAACTACCAGACCCCGCGGCAGAGGCCTGTTCGCTCCCATCCGTGCGCTGGTGGCCAAAAGGCACAGCCATGTAAATGTGCGTGTCTGTCAGGAACACACGAGCATGTGCGCGCGCGAGGTACACACACACACACACACACACACGCTGGACCCCGGCAGACCGCCCCGCAATCGGCAGCCGCTCCACCGGAAGGGCAGGAGGACCGAAGGAAAGCCCCCGGCCCCTGTCCGCCCTGGCACGGCGGTTGTGGACTAACACAAAAGAGCCCGGGCGACATCGCGCCCCGGGGCCCGGCTGGCTGCCCCATCTGGCGGCCGAGACCCCTCCCAAAGGAGATGCACAGGCGCCTGCGCGCGCGCGCCCGAGGCGCCCACCATTACGGCGACACGGTGCCTGAGCCCCGGTGGCGGTCGGCCTCCGGGAGGAACCGGGCCGCCCCAAAGGCCCCCGCGGTGGGGCAGCCGCCGGTGCCGAGGCCGGGCGCGCCGCCCTGCCTAAGAGGCCACCGGGAGCCGGCGGCAACCCATGTCCCCAGGGCACGCTGCTCGCCAGGCGCCCGGGGTCCGGCCTCTGACAGGCGCCCGGGCCGCGCCCGGCGCACATCTGCCCGGTGGGCGTTTGCAGATGCGCGCGCCCCCCACGCGTGAAAGTCCCAACGCCAGGGGGCTCCGGCGGACCACGCAACCGCCCCGTCCCCCCCCCCCTTCTCCCGGCCTTGCTTTTTGGGCGCCGGGACTCTCGGTTTCATCCTCCCCGGCCGAGGAAGAGCCCGCCGCAGGTCCGCCAGCCGCCGGGCCGGCCCCCGAACCCCAGAGATCTACTGGCGGCATGGGCGCATCTGTTTGCATGCAAAATGCACACACACACATACATGTATGTGCATGCAAGCGTGCATGTGCGCGCGTGTGCATGTATGTATATACGTGTGTGTGTGTGTGTGTGCGCGCGCGGATGCGTGCACCGTGGCAGGCCCGTGGGTGCCATTCCGGGCGCCAGCCGCCACGGCGAACCGAATCATCGCCGCACTCGGGACCCCGGGAAGGGGGGCCGGCCACACACACACACACACACACACACACACACAAGCGCGCGCCTGGTCGCATCAGGGAGGTCCGCAAGATCACCCATGACCCGTGTCACATCCGGCAACGCCCGCCATCGACGGCGGGCCCGGCGTCACGCACCGCGGCCGCCACGCGGCGAGGCCCGGCTCGCCCGAGAGAAGCATGCCGGCGCGTGCTGGCTCGCACGGTTGCGCCTCCGCCGGTCCGCCTAGACCATGGGCAGCGCGCGACCCCTGAACATCGGGGCTCCCGGAGTGGCCGGCCGTTCACGGATGGGACACACGCGTGCCCTCCCCCGCCCCCCCCCCCCTGGCACCTGATCCGCCTGCATCCTGGCCGCCAATGCCCGTGCTCAGTGGGCTCATGTGTCCTCGCGCCTCACTTCAGGCGCCTGCCTGCCTGCTCCGCCCTGCCCCTCGCCCCCCCCCCCCCCCCCC